TCTTTTATGGATTCTCTCAGAAGACCACTGGACAAGCAAAAATATTTTTTCTTTTACTTTAAAGAAAGAAGGGTGCTTTTAAAAGAGTTTTGTTTACTGTGTTCCACGTTCTTAAGTATCTCAGTGCTATTTTAAGAACTTCATGATAAGAGCTGTCTGAGCAAAAGGAATTCATCCATCCCTAGGCTAATTACATGTTAGCAAAATCCAAATCATTTAAAATAATTTCAGAGGTCACATATGCCACGAGATAGATTGGAAAACACTGGAGATTTGTCAGTGCTTTCAATGGTCATAAAATGTTCTTACTCTTTGGGAAACAGCAATCAAACTCTCCTAAAATAGTTCTGTATTACACTTCAATGGATAAGCTACTCTCCTCCATTATGACATTGCTGGTTATGGTAATAAATCCACAGTAGCCATTCAACCTTACATGTAGCATCTGTTTCCCTCTGATATTTGCCTGAAGACCTTGCCATAAGGCATATGGCTTTAAAAAAAAAAAAAGAGTATCTTCATCAAAGAGGGGCAGGCTCAAAGCCTCATGAATGACACTAAATATTTTTTATGTTTTATTAGTGCACTACAGTTATACATTACAGTGGGGTTCGACTTGACATAAGCATACATGAGTGAAATATATTTTGTTCCATTGAAGTCCCCAGTACTTCCTCTTTCCTCCTCTTCTCCCTTCCCTCGTTCCTCTTTCTCTATACAGTTACTTCAAGGAACCAACCCACAAGGATGGGCTCCTAAGTAGATATTGATTGGACAATAGTCAGTTCAATTAGCAGAGTGATTCAGGATTTCTAGTACTATTCTAGTCCATAGCAAAAGGACTTTATGAAACCTGAATATTAACCCAACATCCAGCAGAACAAAAACAAATTAAGTAGGGATTGCATAAGATAATGAGGAAATAAAGGTGCAAAATGATTCTCATTGGAGGACATGAAGAGGAGCCTTTCCTCAGTCATTCATTCAAATTTAATTGGTATTATTTTAGTATTTTATTTTTTTAGTTTTATAATATAGCCATTTCTCTTTCCTCTTAATCAGGTTGTAGTATTTAATTTAGTAAAATATGTTTTAAACACTTATGTTCTTGTTAATTCAGGGGAAAATACTCCTAAGTCTCTATACTTTAAATGACAATGAAGCTGTTTTCATAGATTTGATAAGATTATGTCCTCCTTTTTACCAGGATATAGTTTGAAAACCTAGTTGTGCAACAGAATTATTTGAATTTCCTGGAACATCATGTTTGAGAAACGTTTTATTTAGTTAGGCATTTCAAGTCCATTTTTAAGAAGCAAGCTACTCACAAAGCTATCCTAGAAAATTGATCTGGTACTTGTTCTGTGTAAGGAAGGCTATTTCCTGAGAATCCAGGGACTTCAGCAGATTCAGGGACCTTGAGAAAACAATACTTATTATGCACATAGATAGACAACATTGGCGAAAACTGGTGGAAATAAATTGAACCTGGGAGCACTTAACCATTAAGCCACATTCCCAACTCTTTTTTTTTTTTTTTTTAATTTTGAGACAGGGTCTTGCTAAGTTGCTTAGGGCCTTGCTAAATTGCTGAGGCTGGCTTCAAACTTGTGACCTCCTGATCAGCCTCCTGAATCACTGGGTTTATACAAGCATGCCACCACATCCAGAGAGTTACATAAATCTTAAACTCACTTGGAAAAATACAATGCATAAGGTTGAAAATCAGAGTCATGCAGAGAGACACAAAATTAAAATATTCAATAGGTCATATTTGGATCACTCAGCTGAGGTGTTTTTTCCAAATATCAGACTTCTAGGTACCTACAATTCTTTTGCTCCTCTCAGGCACAGTGATGGTCTTTCTGAAGGTGGGTACCTTGCTGTACTCAGTAGCAACCACTGCTCATGTAAGAGAATCAATGAGAGCCCCTGATAATGAGCCTGTCCATGTGCAACCTTGACAGGGACAGCAGCATTTCCTCCCAGAGAGTCAATTCCTCCTTGGTCCTCTGATGACATCAGTTCTCCAGACTGAGAAGCTTTCTTGACATTCCTCCTTCTTTCTACAAATCCTCCACCCAACTCCAACCCCAGATTACTGACTGGATGCTAATGTGGTACCCTTGAGAGACATGAGACCACCAGAGGATTCATGTTCCTTGTGTGCTTGGCCTATTAGGTTCCAATATTTGGTGCCCACAGGAACAGCTGCTATTCCTTGCAGAATCCCTCACACGCTGGACTGTGCTCTCTAGATCCCATCAGCCTAGCATCTCCTCTGAGCACTTCCTGCCAGGACTTCCTGCCAAGATCAGCACAGTGGTTTTCATGATGATTTTGATTAGGAGGGAGAGGTGAAGGGATGCTACCTCCTAAGAGCTAAATCCTGCCCTCCCCATACCTTCCATATGACCTTATCCTCTTTGATTTTAATTAACACTGATTGATACTCTCCTATATGTCAGGCCATTTTCTGGATGTAGGTAATATAGCAATTGATAGCTAAATTAATTAAGAGAGGGTAGGAACCAGGAACTTGTTCTTAATAACTGATGCTTCCCTTGATGTGCTATGAAATGGTGGAGTATATTTTTCTATTCCTTGAATTGGAGTTAAGTTGCAATCTACTTTGGTCAATAGAATGTAGCAGAAATGATGCTTTTGCTCTAAAAGCCTAAGACTCTGGAGTCCTTGCATTCTTCCAATCACTCTTGGAACTCTGTCCAGCCACTAAATGACAAGCCCAATGAGGCCCAGTCATCCCCATTGTCCCAACCCATAGCCAACCAAATATCAGACAAGTCAACCCTCATCCCAACAATCCTTTAATGTCCAGACACATGAATAAGCTCAGCCAAGATGAGCCTAACCTGATCATACCAGAAGACTACCCAGCCAACCTATAGACTCATGAACTATAATAAATATTTTATTGTATCAGCACTGAACTTTGAGGTGGTTTGTTACACAGCAATATCTGACTGAAACACCTAGAAATATTATCTACTTTCAACAACTCTGGAATCTTCAGAGATATTAAACAATTCTCTCTCCTGATCATCCTAAGTTTGTACAGCTTTTAAGTGACAAAAGATGTGAATACAAATCTATATAAGAAAATGCTCTTTTACAATAATATAGGACTTTCGAAGGCCTCACTTAGTTTCTCTGCTCTGCCATTTTTAGGATGCTAAAAATCAGATAACACAAAACACATAAAGTCTCTAAAATAGCATATAGTATATGGTTTTGTTTATATGAAATTCTAAAACAGACAAAACCAATCAAAAGTGAAATAAAACAGATTATTACTTGCCTGGGGGAGGGGAGGCAGGCAGACTGCAAAGGGAAATGACGAAACTTTGGGGACTCATGGAAATGTCCTATATCTTTTTTTATTATTATTATTAGTTGTTCAAAACATTACAAAGCTCTTGACATATCATATTTCATACATTTGATTCAAGCGGATTATGAACTCCCAGAAATGTCCTATATCTTGATTGGAGTAGTTATTAACTAGGTGTTTCTATTTGTCAAAAGTCATCTCTGCACTTTAAATAGGTACATTTTGCTGTGTAAAACAGTTATTCCTCAATAAAATTGATTTTAAAAGTTGGGGGAGAAAAACCTCAGGAACCCTTATTGTATTTTTAAGGTTAAGGAGAAAAAATTCAGGATGACAGTGCTTTCAGTCTCCAGGGGCTTATTTCTCTCCCAGATAGGTCTTGGTAGGGGTCTCTGGGGAAGAAGCCCTCTCCACTGCCATTTCCATGGCCTAGTGGTCTAAAGGAAGCATCTCAGTAACTCCTAGCTGTCGTGGCTCAGGTTGACCTAACAGACCCACGGGTAGGGTTTCTGGCAGACATTGTCATTCCACTTGCCATCTAGGTAAGTTGGCACAATCCTTGCCTCCACCCAGCCTGTGCCCATGCCAGTCATCTGGCTGGCTTGGCATCCAGTTCCTGAGGGGAGAGGACAACAGCAAGCCAGGAAGGATGGGCGGAGCAGGATTCAGGTCTGGGAAGAAGGCATCTAGGTCAGATTCCTGAGGAGCAGAGCTGGTTAAGGACATGGGGCACAGAAAACCAGGGGGTACTCCCTTGAAGTTGGTACCATAGTTGGTCCTGTTCATCTATTTCTGGACTCTTTCAAGGACACTAAGGCCTATTCAGGTATAGGAGGAGGCTTTAAGTCCCTGGAAAAATCCTGGGGTGAGAGAAAGGCAGTGGTGATTTTTTACTCATCCAAGCCAACTTCATAGACTAGGTACTGAACTTTAAGCATTAAGTCCATTGAGGCATTTCACATATTTATGCCAATGCTCAGGCCAATTAAATTTCTGAGGGCATGGTTCAGATGGAAATAGTTACTAAGGCTCAGGGGTGGTTCCAATGTATAGTCAAGGTTGTTAACCATTTCCCTAAATGAGACATATCTTGGGAACTAAAGACAAGAGGCTTCTACCTGATCCTCCCGAGAATTGATAACCAACAGGTGGGCATTCTCCAGCTGGTAGTACTTGTCAGCCTCCCTCCAGGACATCCCAAATTGAGAGATCCACTAGCAGCTGCCCTCATGCTCCAGCCAGTTAAGGGGGCAGCAGGACTTTTCAAAGCCTGAGGGGAAGAAAGAAGAAGAGGTTGAGAAGCTGCCCAGAGGGCCACCGGCAGGAAAACGGGGACAGCCACACCCAAATCCTCCTCACCTTTGCACTTGAGATTGGTCAGTTGGGAAGTTAAGAATTTGGGTTACTTTGGGAGTTGCTGGACTCACAGAAACATCTCAGATTGATCTGGCACACACATAGAAGAGAGAGGGACAATGTTCTGGGCACAGCCTCTGCTGAGGGAGTACCTCAGGCTAAGACACCTGCACGGGGCCCAATCTCGGAAACTTCCTGCTCTCCCATGAATATACCGTGCCCAAATGCACTGTAAGAGCCATCTGACCAGCTTTGCATTCCTGCTCCTGTTTCTGCAGGCTGCTCTCCCCACAGAAACCACCTTCAGGTTCAAGCTGTGGGCTAGAGGGGAGAGGGCTCAGCACCAGGATGCTTCTCCTATGCACACCCTTCCATATGCTTTTGGAGAACAAGGTCTCTCACCTGCCAGCAGTTCCTCCCTGTGATCCTCCACCTCAGCTTTCAGAGAGGTTATAGTTTCTTGCAAGTTCTGACCTGGAGGAAACAGGGACTTGAGATCAGGAGTCAGCCCACACACACATACACCAGCCCAGACCCCACCCAAGCCCAGCTCACCATGGGAGGTCAGTGCCTGGACATTGGTCCCTGTGTCTACACTGAAATTGCTGAAAGTTGTCCTCAGGGTGCCCAGGTCCCTGTGTAACTTGGAATCTGATGAGGGGAATGAGATGATCAGATTGATCAAGTCCTCTCTGCCAGCACAGAGCAGGACACTTTACACGCATTGTCTCAATCAGTCCTCACAGCAAGCCAGAGGGGCAGGCACTGTGGTTATCCAATATCACACAAGAAGGAAAAGTAATTCAACTACAAAACCCAACTAATAAATGACACAGCCAAAAGCCATTCCAATTATGGCTCCTTCAATATCCCTACCAGTGTCTCCACCACTGTTCTCATCAACCACCCAGTTATGACCCCTCAATGGTGCCACACTGTCCCACTGTGCCCATTGCTGCTCCTGCTAGGGTTCTTGCCATTACCCCCATCCCTGCCCCCACCACAGCCCCTTGATTTCTCTCTTCCCTGTGTACCCCTGGAGTACCCACTTTGGCATCTGATCACACAGACAACCACCAATAGCAGGAGACTAAGGCCCAGGGAGAACAGGATAAAGCGAGGCTCAGAGCAGATATGGCAGAGGCCATCCTGGGGTGGAGGTGCTGAAAGAGAAGAGGGTATCAGGAAAAGGGAGATCTAGGACATACCAGAGACAGAGGAAGGGGCCCAGGGACCTGTCTGGGGATGAAGGCTGGGCCCTGGTAATGCTTGGTGAAATGAGGAGAGGGATTGCGGGATGGAGACTACCTAGGCCTTTGACCCCCTCATGACCAGCACAAGTCTGCAATCACATAGACCTCTCATATCCTGCCAGACATAGACAGGGATAACAGAGAAATGTGAGATTTCATCAGAGCTGGAGGAGGTATCACGATGACCTAGACCAGGCCATTAGGAAATTCACCCTCATCTGCGTGACCAGGTGTGCAAATAAATGAGTTTCTCTTCCAGACCCACTACCTGCAATGGATACCTTTCATCGCCTCCCCACAGAGCACAGGAAACCATGTCCACAGAGGTTTCCCTGTCCCTGTTTTTCTGAAGACCTTGAGTCCTCTTCACATTGGGCTCTCAGAATCCTGGGACTGACCCCCTCAAAGTGGGGGACCCAACATTGGACATGGTAGAGGTGAGACGTGATGTGACAGTAGAAATCCTGCTAGACATACGAAGAGTGCACTTAGTGGAGGACACTTCTCCTGTCCTCTTACCTTTTCTAATCTGGTTTTTCTCCTCACTCCCCAAGTGCTAGAGATTTTCATATTCCATTGTCAGGCTTGGACCAATGTAGGCCCTGAGGCTGTGAGAGACGAAACTGAGAGAGGTTCAGGTTGTGGGGAAGCCGGGGCCAAAAAATAGGCTGGAATCAGGGTGGGGCTATTGGAAAGGTAAGTGTTGAGGTGAGAGATGTAATTCCAGTTGAGAATGAGCCCACTTTAAAACTAGTATCAAATGGGTCTTAATTTCCTACTAGGGTTAGAAATGGAGTCAGGATTGGGCTTTGGGATAGGATCAAGTTGAGTTGAGAGTAACACTTAAGGTGAAGTTGAAGCAAAATCTATTGCTTTGACTGGGCCTAAAATTGGACTGGGCTTGAGGCTATGTCATATGCCAGAATTTGGCATCAGAAGTCACCTTGGAGCCATGGATGGAATTGGACCTAAGCTTGGCACTGAAACTGGAAATAGAATAGGGTTGAGGTTCAGTTTGAGGGTGGGCTCAGGGTTGAGATTCAATTTGGATCTGGGGTTGATGCCGAGGTTAACATTACAGGAGGAGCTGGGTTTGGGGCTGAGGCTGGAGTTGGGGCTGAGGATCAGACTGGAATTGGGCCAGAGATGGGAACTGTCACTGGGGATTATGGCTACATGATACAATATAGAATCCAGGGACAGGAATAGTCTCAAGTCTCCACTTGGTTGCTAAATACCTCATTGCCCCCATTATATTTCTTCCCCTTTTCTCCCACCTAAGACCCAAAGCCCCCTTCCCTGTTTCCTCTAACACATCCCCAGCCCAGTTACCTGTGGGAAGTCTGGAGTCTGTGATTCATGGCCTTGTTGTGCAGCAATAACCAGAGTGGGAAGTCACTCAGAGCAGCAAGAACTAAATCCTGGAGAGTTGGGCTGGGAGGGACTATAGGAAGAGCCATGTACATAATGGACTCCTATTGGTCTTTGTGCCCCAAAGCCCAGGATCTGTAGTTGGGGATGTTCCTCTTCCTCAATTTGGACAGTAAATAATAC